TTGAGAATTGTTAGGATTGATTAATTAATTGAATTAACTGAAATTAATTGAAAATGAAGAATTTTACCGAAATTTAATGTCATGTTATTATTGTTGAAAATTTCAATAGTTTTTACTTGAAAATTCAAGTGTAAATTTCCAAAAGTGAAATTACGATTCATTTGAGTTTTCATTTCTGGTTGAAATATTTCCAGATATATCTCTTGAAAAATCAATTCTCCTGCGATGATAAATTCCACGGAGAACTTCTGTCGAAGGGCAATTCATTGGATCGTATGAGAAAGTGTGTTAACGATTGTAATATCGTAAATAGTCGTTGTTAAATCCCGTTGTTATTCATTGCATAAAAAATCGGTGTAGAGTCGTTAGAATCCGGAGGAAAAACCGAGAGAGAAAAGGAAAATCAAGTGAAATTATTACCAGTTTCAGGAAGTCAGAGGACATTCCACTTCAAGTTTAATTTATATAATTTATAAAAATATCATGAGAGGGCTTTGTAATTCTGGTGCTGCCTACACATTGCATTTTTCACATGGTTTCTTGTTACAACTTCCTGCTCACTTGATAGCCGTTCCCTCACTTTTTTTTTCCCCAAGACGTTCTCACTAAATAGCTGGCGGACTTTTTTTCTCTTCACTCGGACTCAAAGGAACCTAGACACACGAAGAGAGTCTCAATTTTTCGCAAACAATGAAGACATTTAACGCATGACAACTTATGCAAAGATCTGTCGAAGGTGGAGAGAAATCGAGGATGTGATTTCCGGTTGACGAGAGAAATCTCGAGTCATCAAATGTGATGAAAAAACTTTGAAAAAAAAAAAAAACGTCAAGCGTCATTTTGTTGGAATAAAAATCAAGGTGAAAGTTTGAGAATTTTCCGAGTGGCCGAGGGTCAAGGGAATTCTGACGGTCATGGGATCACCATTGGGGACAAAAATCCAAACGTCAGATGACGTCGAGGGATCAAAAATCTGTTGAATCATCGGATCGATCATTCGGGCAAAACCAATACGCGGCTTTTTTTATTTCTCTCTTTCTCTTATTTTATTTTATTTTTTTCGTCAATGAATATGAGGTGTGAATGAACGGTTTTATTAGCATTTTAACGCGGGTCATAACTGGTGGTGCACCTGACCCGACGCACAGGTTTGATTCAGAGAAGAAAGCCAGTTCTCTCGTGGTTTAAACTTTAAAGAGACGAGTCAACTCTGTGTCAGGGGGCCAAAGTAACGGTTCAGAGCTCCCCTCACCTGAGCTATCCTCTTTCTCCTCAATCGATCTTCATCCGCTTCAATCAACTCAGCATCAACTACACGGATCAACAGTCCTTGATTGTAATCGGCCATGTCATTTTATCGTGATATTCTAAAAGTTCTTTATCCTTTTTGCATTAATTATCAATTGCAGACAGCCGAGAAAATAAATATTATATATTATACGGTATTATACCATAAAACCGTTACAAAAAATTATAAAAATCAAAAATTTTATTTATTTTATTAATTATTAATTATTAATTTTGACAGTCGTGATTATAGTAGTTATGGCAATCGTTTATTGCTTTTATGTTGTGAATATAAATAAATTATAGATAAATTCAATTCATATCTCTGCGTTTTAGAATAAAAAAACATTAAAAATTGACAGAGAATAATAATTGAAGATCAGAAATTCTATCAGATTGCTATTGGGTAATAATAATAATAATAATAATTAACAACAACTCAACATTTAAATAACAGTATAAATTGTTTATCGGAAAACTTCAACATTTGTGTTTTTCTTTTAATGCAGACGAAAATGAAATAAAAAAATTAAATTTATTTATTAAAATTCGTGGAAACCGAAAGATTGCTCGTCGATTTTAATGGAAATGGTTGGAGAAAGCGTAATAATTCGAAAATAATTGGAGTGTTCAGATCTGGGGAATTGATCCAGGAATTGATTGACGAGAAATTCATTTCTGGGACAGCGATGAATCCTTTTTTTTTATCCTGTAGAAATAAAATTTCGTTATTGAGTTTTACATGCTTTGCGATGAAAAGAGAGTGCGGGAATGTGGACTTTTCGGTTTTTTTCAAATTGATAATGTCGATGGGAAACAAGATGTGATTTATTTCTCAGGAGCCTCAAGCTAAATAAGAGCTCTCGGTGATCTTTAAGACCAGCTTCCTTACAAAGAAGCTGTTTAATGGTTTTGGCTCGTGTTAATGATGACAAATGGCTGTATTAATGCTTTGAAAAACCGTGAGACTACTTTCCCAACATTCGCACAATCTCAATTTTTTTTCTCTCCGGAAAAGCGAATGATCGCTGTTCATCGACTCACGAAATTATTCTTTAAAGTGGAAATTAGTGGAAAAATTTGTGTCATTGTTCGGTAAAAGGTGACCAAATTCTCTCCGGGAGTTCTTACCGATAAATAATCGACACAGGTTTCGAGTCGAGAGATATGTGCAACTGGATGAAGAGAAAAATGAGTTTTCTCCCACGTCACGAGAGAAAGGCTGAATACCGAATGTAACAGGGCGACTAGGAAAAATGAAAATAAATGATGGAGACACTAAAAGGAGAGGCGAACTGAAAAGGCGGGGACTGATAAATTCGTTCAACTTTAATGGAGAAGAACGTAAATGATAAATTAAATCATTCTTTCCACTTTTTCCTCATTAAAAAAGCAATTTGATTACCAAATTTTAATGATTTTTTGGATTTTTCACGTGTTGCCACGCCCACCCTCCCACCCCATTTGATTTGAATATAAAATTAATTCTAGAAATGAAAAATAAAATAAAATTATAACACATCAATATCTTTTAATTTTTATTTTATAATTCCTGTATTTATTTATAGAGAATAATTCCACTGAATCTCAATTAAAACGTTATAATAAAAATTCCGAGAACTTCGAGTTTAAAACTAAAAATGTTCAATAAAAATGAACGATTAATAAACATGAAAATCATATATCTATAAATAATTATACATAAAAGTGTTAATACATTATCTTGAGAAAGATCTTGACATAATGATCCAACAGTCTCACAACTGTTGGCATTCATTAAAAATAAATAATACAATCGAATAATTACGGGAATCCAGATACCTATGGGGTGGATAAAATTCATTTTAATAAATAATTTGACTCACAAATGAGTTTATCTAATAGGGCACGTCAGAATAAATCTCCATTTTCCGAAGAATCGTTGCAACACGACAAGTGCATGTCATAAGATCTCGTGAAAGCACTTTTCTCATAACTGTTCTCTGATTACCGATTCATAAACGAGAATTAATCATTACTTCTCATTATACTTTTCATACAAATTGAAGTGATGATATTCAAATCATCATCGCCACATGATTTCACGTAATTTTTTATGGACGGTGATATATCCTTCATAATAAAACTATATAGTAATTTTTTTTCATTAAAACCTTATATTTTCATTAACATTTACATTTACATTTAAATTTACATTACATTTTTAGTTGAAATATTAATATTGTTATATATTTGTTATCTCTGTCACCCATAAATTTTCTTATTATCCTTATTATTATTATTTTATTATTTTATTATTATTTTCATACGTCCCAGTTTATTTTAATAAATTCTTCATTTTTTTCTGAACTGTTCATTATTATTTAACAAATTTTTAATTGAATGCGTTCAATAATATTTTTAATGAATTCATTTTGTATCCCTTGTGACCTTGAATTATTATTCCGAATGAAATAGTAAAATTTTTCAATTAGTATTTTTTATATTACATAAATTCTTTTTGTTTTCTCATCATTGTTTGTTGGATGTAAATAATTTTATCCGAGCTACCACATGCTTAGTCATTTGTAATACTTCTTCAAATGCTCATGTCGTCCTTCGAATGCTTCAAACGATGTGAGAAAATAGTAATCCTTTCACGTGTAAGAAAATAGAAGTGGACATTCCATCGTGTTCATTAGGCCATTCTGCTATTTTTTGCCAATTACTATCAAAAATTTCGTAATTGTCGCGCCATTTTCCAATAAATTCCACATAAAATATATTAAATCAATCCATTATAATTTTCTTCGTCTCATACTTTATTTTTTTAAACAAATTCCTTCTAATTCACATTCGTCGCTAATTACCCGCGTTATGCTCGAAAAAATTTCAAATGTACATTTTTCCTGTTTCGATTACGAGTGATAGAAAGTTCAAGTGATGATTTATTTATCAAGTATCTTACGTGAGTTGAGCAAGTGTTCTAGTTTTTTCATTGCACAAAAGAAAAAGTTATGCAATTTTCAAAAAATCCGGGGAGAAGAGAAAAATGTGAGAGGGATTCGCGGGAGAATAATTGGGGCAGTTTCTATCTTGTGAAAGCACAAGTGGAAGAGAAAGAAAAAAATGTATTTGTCGTGCTTTTCACTGGTCAAGTGAAGCATTGAGGCGGATTTTTCTCGTGTTCGTGCTCTAGTCACGCGATGAAGTATCGGTTTGTTCATGACTCGTTAGAAATTCGCGAAAACTCCATCGACAAATTTCACGGAAGTTCCATTACCGTCTGGTCTCTAACTCCTTATGATAATCACATCTCGCACTTTCATATATTTACGCTCAATTATCAGATGAAAATTTCCGATCGTCCAACCCGATCGATAATCCACTTCAATTGCCGATAACTGTATTAATTACAGAGAGCACCAGGAAATTAGTAACTTCACTTTCACTAATCACCTGTTTGCCCAGATCATCCGGTAAATATACGGATTATTCTCGGGACATATTGAGTATCAAACTATCACTTTCGCTGTCGCCTTTGACACTTTTAGAAAGGTGTGCATCGAACTCGTGACATTTTACTGGTTAAAAAAAAACATTTCCAACTCGTTCGTTATTTCTCTTTTAATCTTAATAAAACCTAAATATCACTTCCGTGGTACTGGCTGTTGATTCCTGTTGCTAATTACGCAAACTCTGGACTAATTAGTGGATTATTGTTTGTATTGCAGATGAGAAAACTGCGGGAGAGCGAAAGGGGTCACCAGATTCGGTTGGGGCCGCCGATTGAAGATAAAATAAATCGACATCGAAATACTGTAAGTGAACTATTTACCTTTCTATTTATTTCAGCTTCCCAATTGAAACTCGATTTTTAGATTTTAATGCTGATCCTTCCAGAAGAATTTTTGATGAATTTGATGATCAATTTTTTTTTGGCACTTGTGGAAGTTCCGAAGCATTGGGTTAAATTCAACTAGTGAATTTGAATTATCTCGTATATTTAGAAATTTAACTAATAATTTAATTTCATTCAATTTATTTTTTTTTTATTTATCATAAAAATACACTTATTGCATTCTGTTTGAATAATTTTAATGAGAATTTTTCCTTATGACTTCCAATTGTTCGATGGACATGTCTTTATAATCCTTCAATATAAATAATAATAAAACGAAACCTACTGCGCACTCCGTGCGCCGAATTTGAATTTGGCGGTTCGAGTGGGCCAATGAGGAACTAGTCCTACGCGTTTCGAGATATTTCGACTCGGGCGAACTTCATTTTTGTGTTTTTACTTTCGTAATAAGGATAATAAGCAAAAAGGATTGACAAAAAAATTAAACTATGTATGTAAATGTTTCAGTGGCACATTATAGATCAATCCGTTATCAAAATGGAGGTCCTTGAAAATTTTTAGAGCACTTGTATCGCATTTCTTATATTCTCATATCCGGCGATGATACCTTCTGTATTCCCATGGTGCAGCTTTGCCTTCCCAGTAATAAAGATGTAACAGGGGAAGGATTTCACTCGTTTAATGTCGACATAAAAACTCTGTTATGTCCCTAGGACCCATAAACCGCGGATTCTAACCTCACTCCATGGGTATCAGTGTTTAGGACATAAAATATTATATATGAGATGATAATAAAAGTATTTACTGACCCACATGATTATGATCATCGCCCTCGACGCAGATTATATAATGTCATCCCACAAAAAATACTTTTATCGTCCTTGTGACATAATGTAGGACTTTTGCTTCCCTAATCGGAAGAGAAATTGATACTGCCACCGCAATGACGACTGATTACTTTTTTTATGGAGTCATTTCTTTTTGGGAAGATTTTTAATGGCTACTTATGACTAGAAACAAATGGTTAATAACTATGACACGTGGGTGGAACTTTCCAAAATGGAAGTTATGCTAATGGCCCCGGAAACTGAAAGTGGTAATTCCATAAAATCTTCTAGCTCTGACGGATGATAAAATCTGCTTATAAAATTTTCTTCCTCAGGATAACATATTTTCTCTCTGGAAAATCATGAAACCCGAACTCTTTATTGCGTAACTCATATGAAAGTTGAGTCATCACTTCAACGAAATTCATTAGAGTCTTCTCAATTTCGTCTATTAAAAGATTCTAATGAATTTCTGTGAGAACGCCATGAAAGTTGTATTGGAAAAATGATATTTGCGGAAATGTGTCAATTAATATTGATTTGTTTATCAGTGACCCTCACTCCGATTTCCCTCTCAAAAATTTGACCTTGATGTTTCAGGACCCATGTAAAGATGACTACGACGTGGGTGAAATGGAGCGTCTCCGAGAGGTGGCGATAGAGCAACAAGAGATAATTGAATTTCTCCGGCAAGCCCTGAAGGAACGTGAGCGTAAACTAGACCAACTCTCCAACAAAAAGCGCAAAGAAGAATTCTACAAGCAATGGCTGGAGCTCGAGCCAGTGGCAGAGGTCGATGATGAAGAGGAACAGGAAGAGGGTGACAGCGCCCTCTCAAGCGCGCCCTCTTCTTTATCGCCTCAACCCTGCGGTCACTGGCAGTCTAACGGAGTTTCCCGTGAGACTTACGAAGGACTTCTCCTGGAGTTCGAGGAACTCCAGACAAAATACATCGAGGCACAGCAGGAATTGTCCCACGCTAAGAGTCAAGTCCGCGATTTGGAGCAGGCGTTGCTGCAGGAGACTCGAGGAAGTCAGAATAGCCGACGAGTACTCAGCGATAAGCTGAAGGAAACTGAAGAGCGAGAGTCATGTTTGCAGGCGGAGATATCAGAACTGCGGGAGCAAAATGAATTACTCGAATTTCGTGTGCTGGAACTTGAGGAGACTGGTGGTCCGAGGGAGTCCCCTGACACAGCTGACAGTGGCATTGTGTCACCCGAACCCAATCAGCTCTTCAAGGAGCCAAATACCAAGCAACATCGTGCAATTGCAACCGTCATACCATACAACACGTACACCCAATCATTGTCACCGGTACCAGTTCAAAAGCCACCGCTGTCCCTTCAGGAAAGCGGAATATTTGAGGATGATGATGATCAGGTGGAATGGGCTACTTGTGGTACGCAGACTGAAACCCCCTCCGGTGATCTTTTGCAGGAAGTCCAGAGACTTCAGGAACTCCGTGAAAGGATCCAGGAGAGGGCAGTCAAGGTACCTTTGGAGAGTTTAGAGACTGAAGATCGTTTGACCTCTTACAAGGAACGAATTCAAGATCTGGAGGAACGATTGGCCATTTACGAAGCCGCTGAGATTACGAGATCGAATGATCAATTGCTAGCGAAACAGAGAGAGGAAGATGTTCTTGACGAGAACTACAAGCTCACGGAGAGGATCTACTGGCTGGAGAATGAATTGAGAAATCTTCAGGAGGCAGGGCGGGATGTTATTGACATTGGGACCATGACGGATAGGATTTCAAATTTTGAGAAAACCACGGATGAGAAGATTACAATCAGTGATCTTTCAGCATCCTCACCTTGTGGAAGGATCTTTCATGACGTTTTGAAGGAGATTGATCATTCCAGGAGCTTCGCAATGGCGAGAGTTGACGGAACTCCATGGAATGACCGCACCGAACCAGAAGCAATGTGCGACGAATGCAATATCATGAGAAGCAATTACAATGAACAAATCCACCGATTTGTCATCGCCGAAGATTCTTTTCGACAGAGAATCATTGATTTGGAGAGGAGAGAGTTCGCTTTCGTCAAGACTCTTCAGAAAGTCGATGCCACGTGGACCCAACTTGAACTGTCCCACGCTTCAAACCTGACCGCATGTCAGCAGGAACTTGAGAATAAGGTTCATGTCAATCAGCAGATGCTGGATAGAATCTACAGTCTCGAAGAGATGATTCGGAATCATGTGTGCGAGGGACACTCCACGGATTTCGATGAAGTCGACATGAAGCGGAAAGAAGCCATGGATGAAGGCGTTCAAACGGATGAATTCATGGAGACTGATGAACCCTTTGTTAAAGCTGGAGTTGATCGATCTACGCAGGCTGAAGAGACTGATTGGAATAGGGACATGCACACCGTAAGTCATGAAATAGCGCACATATTAAAGAATTTAACGGAGAAACATGTTTGCTATTGGTTTCGCTGTAGACATCTTAGAGTTAGATAGTTTTACCGATTGGCTACTGATATATTTTTCGAAGTATCGAATGGTATCGATCGACGATTAATGAGAGTCTTTGATTTTTTCTTTAGGGAGATGCCATCCGAAATTGTTCTGGCCAAATAATAGCGGAACTAGCGTGTGAGGCTCGAGAAGATGAGGCTATGCAATCATCAGTGTCACGAATTCTCGTACAGCCTGATGAAACCACTGCCAATGATCTTGTCAAACTAACCGAGTCTGATACGGATAAGAAGGTTAGAAAATGGCGAAATGGCGGACATGAACGAGATGGCTGGGTGATGAGAGTGAGAAATACGTCGAAGGGTAGTCGTAGTGTTAAAAACGTCAGGGCAGTTGTTAACGGTCATCGTTTTGTTCTTTACCAGGAGATTTGCGTTTAGTTTCTCTATTTTGTTTACATTTCACTCAGTGAAAGAACTGTCACAAATTCTTTATAACGAAAAACAAAAACAAATTAATCACTTATGAATCCAGCCTGAACTCATTTCGTCAGCATTTTCAAATCCGTGTGAAAATTTGATTGTTGATAACGTGACTCGAGTGCATTGTACTTGATAAGTCAAATTCCAATGGATCGAGAAGAGAAATTTAATGAAAAAATAGGTCTCGCATGCGCCACGAGAACTATGAGACTGCAAATATATTTCTTGATGGAGGAAAATGGATTGATGAGGATGTGCTAGAACTCATGCGGCTTGGCTGGCTTCGTGACTGGCCCAAGGTCAGTTCAACTCTCTAGTCCCCCAGACAAATTTGACAGATATTTTAGTAGATGAAGAGATCTGACTTCCAATTTTTCTGTTTTCGTGCGTGAGGCATTCGATAAAATCCACAGCAATGTCTAGCCCCCAAATTTTGACTCCATCTTGTCGTATTTTATTCTAAATCTAAAAAAGAACGAGAAAATCATGAGAATATGATAATGAATACATTCAAAGTTTGAGGCCATGGATTTTTGGAGGGTCTTGTGGAGTGCCTCGCATACAAAAATTAATTTAGAAAATGATTTTCCACTTTAAATCGAGCACGACGACTCCTGTTGCGCCTCGTCCATCTAATTTTTGAATTCACAACTCATTCTGAACTTATTGTACTTTGTGTGTTTATCTGCTATCATTCATCGATCATTAAACGGCAAGGGCTTAGGTTTTTAATTTAACGTCTCGACTGTGAGTTTATCTAGTTGCGCTTAAGGTGGTGGTGTAATTTACAAGTCTTTCATAGTTTTTTCATTGCCAATTGCTGTGGGAGAGAGTTTTCAATGGATTGAATTTTTATTTTGCAGATTGTTTACTTTCGTTGGAGATGAGAGATCTGTCCTATTTTTTTTTTGCGGTGACTGTTATCGTCGAGGCTGTGGTTTAGCTATTACATCAACATTATCACGTGACCAGCACAAACTCCCGACATTTTGATGAAACAAAACTGTTCTTTTTTTAACAACTCTGAGGTGAGTTGAAACTCTTTTTGTGACGTGGAATCGATATCGCAGCTGTCTAGAACAGACTTTTCCCAGATTTTTTTAAAGAACAATTTGACAGATTATTATTAAAATCATTTTCAATACCAGAATTTTTTTATTGAAATGAACAGCTTTGGGAATTTTAGGAAATATTGTTATTGAAAAATCAGAAGTTTCATTATTTTATGGTTTAAATAATTAGACAGTAAATAAACACTTTTCATGTAATTATTCTCTGAAAAATATAAAAAATCATTTTAGCCATAAATAATTAAACTTCCGATATTATTATTATTATTAATAATAATTCCATTGAAAAATTTGGTAATTCCAATATTCCACAGAAAAAAAATCGATGAGTCTTGAATTTCTATTTGATGTTTAAATTATTGGGCCCAAAATTCCCGAAATTTTTGCATTCCATCAGCCATTGTTTTATGTAGTTTTTAGGAACATCGATAATTAGCAATATTAATTACTGATTTTCTCTCACCAGGACAATATACTGCTGGCGCTGCTTGGTGCAACCAAGTGATGACCAGGAACGGTACGTCCTACCGCAAAGGACACCCCAACGATCGTAAAACTCAAATTTAAACGCCAAATACCGCCATCCAACTATAAAATTCCCCCGAAATTCCATCCGATTTACGAGAATTCTATTTCACCCATTCAAAAATATCGTATTTCAACATCTACTACAGCGATATCACGAATTGAATCTCATCGAACGCCACGAAAGAAAAAAAAATACCCAAAAGGTCCCAAAAAATGACGAATAATTACACTACATACTCGAAAAAAAATGTGTGTTTATGTATTCATTTATGTTACGTTTGATTTTTTCTCAATTTTCCAGTTGACTCTGTATTTATGCATGTCATCCCTATGAAAATATTATATCAAATCATCCACCTTGCCCCGATTTCGATGATTGAGATAGGTTAGGGTTCAGGTAATCTCTAGTCGATTTTTACCGATATCAAAGTTTATAAGCGACTCCGAAGATCTGTACTAGCGTTTGATTTAAACTTTTTGTCGAAACATTTGAACTAGTTTAACGTTATTTTAATTATGTTTGCATGATTATGATTAATTCCAATAAAAGAACATGCTCATCATATTCACATGACTATTGATTACCCTCAGACCTGCAGCTAGAAGACACATCACAGGAAATGGTTAAGAATTATAACCTAGACTTCATCCTGAATTAAAACAAGAATTTCTGTTTTCGTAATAGTAGAACCGATCACTCCAACTTTTCCCTCTTGCGTCCATCGGAATTTTCCAACGGACTCGACCCCATTTTCCTCTTTCCATTTTTATTGACAAGAGAAATAAGGAAACTTTGAAACGAGAAACGGTAATGGCAGCAGTATTACCTGTTCTTGTATTTTCCTCTTTGCTTTTTTATTTAGCTCCCTGACACTTTCATCAAAACGGTAAAATAACATTTTCCCTGGTTCAATAATTTGAATAATTCCAATGAGAACTGCTCATTGTAGCTGCTTGTATTTTTTATTGATCAGTCAATGGCTCCAGAAATTTTTTCGACTCTTGGAAGTTGAGGGGATGCATCGACGTTTGTCAGAGGATTTTCCTTCTTCTCGATATTGTGACCTGTCGTCCTTGATCAAATGAAAAATTCAATGAAATGCGTGATCTGGGAAGAATTAGAGACATTACTTTTCCTCCGATAATGGATTAAGATTGACTACAACACCCATCAGAAGAGAAGGAAGCGCCAATTCCATCATCCTGACTCTTTCTGCTAGAGCGTTGTGACGTCTTTCCAAAGAAGCATTTCTCCTCTCGTAATGTTGCACTAGATTACTCCAACAGCTCTTCCTTTTTTGCTTATCCTCATTCCCCGAGCAATTCGACATGACAATTTGTTTTTAAATATTCATGAATCCGAGAAATGAGAAAACATCGAAACGAGGGATTTCCAGCGGCAGTGACAGCGAAGTGGCGCTGCCTGTCCTGTCATATCGATTTTTCACTTATTTCGTGGTAGTTCAACCTCAAAAAAAAAACGTGTTCAATGAATTGACAGGAAAATTACAGTAGTACGGATCATTGAAATGGGTCAGACATCATCAGGAGTGGATCCAGTGACTTCTAGGGACATGAATAACTGTTCTTTCTGCGAGAATCCAAACTGTTTCGAAGATGTCCCTTCAGCTCCACCTGGGGAACCGGAAGTTGCCATTCCACTGGATCATAACGAAAGTCTGAAGGAATTGGCGACGAGATTCGACAGTATTTTAGATAAAGCCAGAGTGAGAGCGTAAAAATAATTAAAATTATTGACCTGAAGGACAGAGAGAAATTATTTTGATTGATTATCAGAGCCTGGGGCTACAGGAGCTGGTGAAACCGATCGAAGAAACAGCGATAACATTGAAAAATCTGGCAGCACCAACTCAGTCTTCCTCCAGCAAAGTTAGTCTTCCAATAGTAATTACGTAATTTGGCTTTCCAGGGATCTCTAAATTTTTATAATTTCCGCACGGAGAAATTATGACGGTTTTATCATTCCAGAGTGTTTGCTCCAGCCCTGGAAAGCCTATTAACCCTCTGATAATCATCGAAATTGAAAAAAAAAAAAACAATATTTCATAGTCAGGAATCTCTTGCAACTGCAATCAATGGGGCCCAGATGTCGTCAGTCCCCGAGGCAAATGGATTTGCAATGCGTGCGGTGATAAATGTCAATGCGATAAGACCTGGTACATTCCTCCTGTCACTAAAAAAATATCGCACAGAACTGACCCTGAGGTGAATGAAATCAAGTACAACATGTGTCGGTGGGTGTAAATAATATTCGTTGACTTGTTCATCTGTGTTTCAGCATCTGAAAGAGAAAGGATCGACGATGAAAACGATTGGAGGTCATGCTGAAGAGACTGATGATCGATCCATTGAGATACAGATTGAAGTATCAGATCGAGTCCGGGTAAGGTTGAATTTCGTGGTGAATTATTGAATCAATTCGAAGATAAATATATTTACTTCAGTCCATGACAGACCAATCAACAGCCAAATCTAGGTGTGTGGAAATCGGTGAGGGTGAAAGTGGAGTTATTTGTCCGTGTGGGTGCGGATATTTTCAGGAAGGGGAATTCAAAGTTTGTCCTTGTGGATGTGGAACTATTATTGAAATCGTTGATGATGCTGGAGACATCACATCACTCAGGGATGGAGGGTAATTCGATTTTTGTGGATTACCTCTAATTTAATATTATTTCTGCTAATGTGAGGGATTCAATTGCTAAAGGAGAGGATTTAATTTTTCAGAAAGTTAACTGTCGAATATTTCTGCAGTCTGATTTTAATTGATATAATTTTATTCCGTATTATTGCGCATTATTGTGCATTATTGCGCATTATGTCATGAAACTGTTCGTCGGAGAAGTTTAATGAATTATATTCCATTCATTCATAGTTTCTCTCGCATTATGCAAGTCTTCTCACGTGAGGGGGTAATGATGGCTAGAACCTTGAGACTCTTCGAATAATAGTACAAATTGCTGGATATTATTTCCACTGTATTATCATTAATCATTTAGACCCTGTTGCATATGCGGTAATGAACTCAATGACGAGCCTAGCCACAACCTAGAGGAGTCCGCGGCTTTCATCGATTCGAGGGATACCGGTTAGATAACAAAATCAATGCAAAATGTTTTCAAGTTTTCATTTGAATTGGGAATATTTAGGAATTATGTCGGCACTGGAGATGCTTCAAGCCAAGTGTCGCATCAAGGATGGAATGATTGCGGTTCTGGCTGAAGAGCTTAGGAATTCCGGTCATGTCAATCACATCGTTGAGAATTTAGGTGCGCCTTGTTTGCCGCGAACTGCTATTGACTTCGATCGATCCATGCTGTGTGATTATCTGAGGAGTACATCCCTTCCGGTGAGTTTTACTCTACGATTTCTATTCGAAGAAAATACATTTTTATCGTTACGAAAATCACTGCAGAATCCGCGCGCCGATTTTGAATTTCCCGGGGCGAGTTGACGAACAGGAAATCGCAGTTACAAATTTCGAGATATTTCGACTCGGGCGAACGTCATTTGTGTCGAGTCGATATGAGTCGATATGAATCGAGATAAGTCGAAAGCAAAGCATCTGCAAATTATTATTTGCTATCTTCAATTCAATGACAGAAACAAAAATCACCAGATAATCGGTATCGCATTGCATATCGATATTTTCAGAATAAAATCTAATAGCAAGAAATGACTAATCGATAGTCGCAAATGTGTCAAAGGACAGAATATCCCTAGCCTCTCCTTTAATATCTAAAAAATAAATATAAACAAAGGAAGAGAATTTTTTTTCCGAGTGTCTCAAATTACGGAATTATAATTTCAAATCTCGCAGTTTACGAAATTGAGAAAACAGGTAATTTATTACCAAAGGTAAATTACTATTTTAGTAAACAATGGGGCTTATTGTTTTTTTTTTTAAATAGGATTTGGCGCCGATGGAAGCTCATATCGGAGATGATGCTGTACCAAAGCCGACGAATTTCCGAGTGGTGAGAACGATTCTCAACTCATTATTTGTTGCTTGGGATCCGCCTGAATCGATATGCAAACTTCGAGGTTTTGAAATTACAGTCAATGGGTAATCGAATATTTTTGTTACTCATAATAATAATAATAATAATAATAATAATAATAATAATAATAATAATAATAATAATAATAATAATAATAATAATAATAATAATAATAATCTTTCTCGAACTTGTGCTGCACTTTATTGAAACATGCAGCAAAAAATTGAATCTCCAAATGTAAAAATAATAAAATATTAAAAATTGTTATTGAATGTCAATATTATGTATTAAATTACCTTGAAAGAATAATATACTTATCCTGTAATCATGAACATTTGATTAAAATTCCTGGACGTGAATTCCTATAGCAATAAAAAAAATTTCACTACAAAAAAATCGGCAAAGATAACTAATCAAAATAATAAATAATAATAATAATAATTCTCAATGAATTTTTCCTGCGAAATGTTTGCAATTCCAATTGAATTAACGAATACAAAATCTAATCAACCTATTTTACTAATTAATTAGCCTGGTTCAGAGAATAATTAGAAGTCGATTGCCATTTCCGGGGATTGCATAATTAGATTTGAATTTATCTCTTCGAAATGATTGGTGATTATGATTTTTTCAGGATTGTAACCTGCAGAGTTGGATCACCCACGAGAACTCAAGCTATTTTAACTTCCGTTGACTTGACAAAACCAACGGTTCTCACCTTATATGCAGTTGCCACGAATGGTCACATATCAGACTCCTCTACAATAACTTTCCCAGCTAGCAAAGACCCATGGAAATAAAAACCATTGACCCCATTAGTTTGCAATGTGAAACCAGAGAACTTGTCCGGGTCATTCATCCAAAGTCAGATTATTTTTTTACAAGATTTTTTATTACCGTTACGTCAACGCTCCTCACGTCCAGAGAATCCTCGAGTTGTGAGAAATTTCCAGAGACTATCACACGATAATCTATTAAAAAAAGTCAGTAATTTACATGAATGCGTGACTTTCTTCTCATTGCTACTGACGAATTCTTTAAATAATTTATTTATCGATGGAATACTTTGTTTAATTGCTTCTGATATAAAAAATAACGGAAGTGCTGTGGAATTTGTTATTAGAATTGAAATTTTTTGTGAAATTTTTTGGGAGTGTAAGTGGGGATTGGTAAAATTCAGGAATGGGAAGGGGAGGCGATCAATCTTGATTTTACTGGAGGGCTGTAAAGCTGTACGTGCGGTTCTCACTCTGAATCTTCTGACACTGATTGCTGATTTATCGTTAATTAAACACCAGATAATCGTGCAAACAGCCTGATCACGCGCTCGAGACTTTCCGTTAATTCATTAACTCGTTTCGCATGTATGCGTGAACTATAAGAAATAATTTATTTCTTATAGTTTTATTAATTATAGGAAATCGTTAATTTATTTCAAATAAATTAACGATTTTCTATAATTTTGAAGAGCAAAATTGAGCACGTGACATACAAAATTGGAGTAATATATAAAAAAAATATGTAATCATAATTAAAGACGATAGATACAAAAGAAAGCGAAAAATTCTCTTTTCAAAGACAATTTTTTCGCAAAAAATTTGAGAATTGAAAAATGAAAATTAAAATATGGAATAACAACAATTTTATCCACAACTTTTTCTGTAAAAATCTGAAATTTACGAAAACTGAAAAATTGTTTGGTCGCAAAAAATTTGAGAATTGAAAAATCAAAATCAAAATATGAAATAATAACAATTTTATCCACAATTTTTTGTGTAAAAATCTAAAGTTTACGAAAACTGAAAACTTATTTGTTCATAAAAATTATTCTGGGTCACAATTACAAATAAAAAAACGCGGTAAATTACAGTCCTTTAGTCCTCGGAATATACAAGATCTTCCTCCTGTCCACAAGATCATCAACACTATTAAAATCGGGTAAGACATCGGGTATTTTGATCTGCACACCTCCCCCAAAAGGTTTCTCGGTTGAAAAAAATCCGAGAGGCTTATGTACTTTCCCCTTTTCCACCGTGTAATGAACTTCACCGCTGACTGGATTTTTCGGATAATAAGGATCTTCATCATCGCCAGGGCGAGGTGCTCCAAAATCAAAAGCAGGAACAGGAAATTCAGTCCCTGCAGTGGTAGTTCTTGCAGTGGTGCCTCCACCAGAGGTTTGACCTCCCGGGGAATAATTAGGTGCTACCAGAAAGGGTTTCGTCGTGCTCTTCCCCGCGTCCTGGACCCTCAACCCAAGATTCCTGGACTTGTCATCCCCAAGGACTTCATTGGCCCTGGATTTATGACTGAATCCCTCACTCGTCCTCTCATTATTTCTCTTGACACTAGAATTCCTGAGGAAAACCGTTGAACTCATGGTGAATGTCGTGGCCTTCTCCGAGTCCTCCCTGGGTGCCTCCAGGAACACCGATGGCTCCTGGGAAATCCTGAAAGTCCTCGACAGACTGCTCGACCTCCGGAGGATGTTCTCATCACTCCCGGTGACAGGAACTTTGGAAATCAATTTCTCCGCGTTCTTACAGTTCACCAAGTGCGCGTGATCACAGACAAGAGTTTCTTGACAGAATTTTGTCTTCTTCGGGCAGTAGTACGTGAATTTATTTCCATGATTGTCACAAGTATGATACACTTCACAATTTGAATCGACGTCTGCGTAAAATCCAGTGTCCCTTCCTCGACAGGAGAAACTGCTGATTGTCGATGGTGTTGTCTTCTGGAAAGAAAAACAATTTCAAATTCATTTAAAATTCATTAAAAATATTACAGATGTATGATGCAGTACTCACGAAATTCTCTTGTCCATGAACCGTCAGGATGATGGTAAATAACCACGTGATGCAGGTTAATGTCATTGCAGAAAAATAAAGCAGAGTCTAATCGCAAGATCCAAACATGCATTGAGCTCTCCAGATGAGCGAAGTGAAAGTGAGAAGAATGTTTAGGACTGAAGCTCTTTGCCTCAGTTGCCGTACCCACCACCTCTTCAACTCCTTCTCCTTCTTCAGATTACCTTTATTCCCCGTTATCTTATTTCAGTATTTTTGCATGAATAAAAATGAGATATTATTTACTCGAGAAAGGCGGACAATCGGTTGGGGGGAAGAGAAAAAAAAATAGAGTCACTCGAGCTGAGAACAATGTTCGAGGCACGTCAATGGATTGTTGCGCAATTTCCCAGTTGTATTGCCAGTTACGAGTGTTTGACGGGTTTTCGTTATTTCTTTTTCTCTCTTTCTGGCTGGGGCCATTGTTCAATGCCTGTTGGTGGAGAGCAATCTCCAGTCGAGTGACATACGATTATTAGTAAGTGAAGAGGGTATAGGACAAAAAATTGTTGTGGTAAGAGGATCGCGGGTCCTTGGCATCGTGACCTATTTGAGGGGATCGTTGAAAGGTCGAAGACTTTGTCGGATCATCTCCTTTTTTAATCGCCACTTGTGGTATTGCGAATGAGGATTTCGAGGACCTCGAATTCAGAGCCTCTGATTGACTTTAATCTCTAATTAATTCGAACTCAGAGCTGACTGATTTTAATCGCTAATTAATTCGCTGGAAAATTATATTGGATTTCTATTGAACTTCTTAGTATAATGTAATTGTATCAAACTTCGGTTGTAATGTAATAAATTTTTTATTACTCAGGTTTGAATGCAGGTTTCAAACAGCAGAAGACAAATTAATTGACTTTTTTTCTATGTCATGCTTTTTTATTTCATAAATTATATTAATGTTTTTGGGATGTGATTGAAACTATAATTTAAACAATTTACATGCACTATCAGCAACGATAATTTATTATTATATCTTTTTAACTGCGTTAAACAAAATGATTAAGGGATTTTATCAATGTTTTTTTTTTATCCATAAAGGGTTCTTTAGGTCTCGCCTAAATAACAGTTTCGTAATTGCTTTGATATTAATTCCTCTGCACGCATCAATCCACTTTTTCTTCGTGGATTTTTGGAAATGATAAATTAATATTTCAGCGAAAAGTAAAAGGGTGGCTAGTGAGTAGCCAATTACGAGGATGGCAAGGAGTTGATGGACTAGACGAGACCCTGATTGTTTACCACCTGAGGATGGGTCATTGAAGGTTTTCTTGGTCCTTGACTGTCCCTTGTTAATGAACCATTTTTGTAGCAGACCTCCTTCATTACACCTGTCAATAATTTCATTCATTTTTTTTTTAGCGGGTAATCCGTGACGAAAAACGAAGGCTTCCTCAAAGGTACGACTCGTTGGCTCCAGAAATCTCAGTTGGCTTTGGCCATTTTTCATCTGCGTCTTATAATACTGGGCCTCTGCTCTGGACATAATGCAGCAAACATTGCGATGCAAAAGAGCCATTCGCGGACAGTCAAAGGTATGCGCTGATTTCACTGCTTTCTTCTTCAATTTCTGAAAAACTGGATCCTCACCATCGAATAGTTTAAGGTTTGATTGATCTCGAAACATCGGGATTAAGCCTGATTGATCGATTTCTTCCCAGGTGTCATATATAGTTTCGAACTGATTGTCGACGACAAGATCTGTTAGCAGAGCGAAGATGTTGCTGGTGTTGATGAATCCAAGTAGCACGACAAACCAGAACAAGACCCTTTCCGGACCTTTCCAGGGTTGATTGGGTATTCCGATTGACAGTATCAGTCGCAGAATGTTGCACAGCTGCCAAATTCTGTCATCGAACTTCAGGACGATCACTGCACACCAAATTATTATAATGGTAGCTGGCAGGAGACAAATCTCAAGCCACTTGTTGTCTGTTTCTTTGTTATATTTTTTTCCGTACATCTTTGGTATCAAAAGGCCGAATCGACTGATCAAAATCACCCGCGATCTCACAGATTCTTCTAGCAAAGAGTTTGCTGTCAGATCTGAATGGAGTACATCATTCACCAACACATTATCTAAATAACGAACCGATAAATGGGAGGATATGTCGATCCCACGAGTTCTCGATTTTCTTACGAAACTATCAAAGGCAGCAGCGGGATCTTGCCAGTATTTCCTCAAATGCAGTCTGCGGAGAATGAAAGGAGTGAAGTTGAGCTGTTCAGCCATTGTGTGCAGCAGAATGATATTCGGCCCCGAGATCTTCCTCGCGTGTTCGGTTTTATCCCAGGAGACGAAGGCAAATGGAGGACGATGGACAACAGCTACTGTCAGAGGATGTCTGTGCATGTTCTTTGCGAAATTTGGGAAGAACTCCAGTCGCGATGAGAATTCTTGGTGGTAGGATTGATTGATGAAAGGATTGAACAGGTGGATGATCACTTGGTTCCAACTGTTGTCGTCACTTCCATCAACTTTCCTGACAATCTCTGCTGGCACTCCATCAAATCTTTTGATATCTGTTCCTTGCCGAAGTTCAACGATCATCACATTTGAGATTGACTCATTCCACGCGTGGAGCAGAAGATCTTCTATTTCTCCATTCAAATCTGATGATGTTCTCAAGATGATCAGAAGATAATTGAAAGAAAAGTCGACTAATTCATTGGCTGCATGCATCACTTGATGTATCTGCTCGCTGTCTCCGAAATATTCAGTGTAAAATATGAAGAGGAGAGAAGTTGATAGTTTTGATATGTCGCCGAGGTCCGGAACTTTCAACTCAATATTTTCATCTTCAATTTCAAATGTGACGCTCGGCACGGAACCCGTGATCTTTTCAAATAATTCATCCTTCAGGGTATCTGAGTGTCGTGTCTTATTGTTATGGATAATTAAAGCCGTGTTTATACGACGGGAATCGTGTAGATTCGCGCTCAAACTCTCAAACCAGTGGATTTCTGCGTGACTTTTGATACTATCCAAGAGAATTCTGATGGAGATCAAGAGAAAAGTCTTTCTAATGTTCATGATTGATTTATTTGCAGTAAAATTTCCCCGAAGTGGTTGTCAATTACCGTCTAGGATACATTCATGGAGCAGATATCAACTAGAGGAACCAAAAACGCATGTATCAAAAAAAATCCATAAAAAGCGTCGCTTATTTGCTAAAAAATTCCATTTGTTTGTTCTTCGCACCAATTCTATTAGACACTCGAGTGAAAATATTCAGTAAATTTTTCAGCTCTTTCTGGTAAAACTTTATGGAATTTTTCCATTTGGAAATGCTTACCTGATTTATTTTTCTCTGAGTCTTTGTGTCACAACAAAACTTTTCGTAATGAACACCAGAACGTGAGCATTGAGGTGTTATCCATCTGTCATCAATGTGTCATCAATCTAGGATTCAAAATACTCATCAATCAGAATATTCGAAAATTTGGTGAACACATTGTAACGATACGTAGCTAGTATTTTTATTCAAAGAACACTTGTCACTAGTATGAGTTGAATAAATTATTAGGATTAGGCATTTGACTAACCCCACTTCCTAATCCCTCGCAATTCATTCCCAATTCATCCCCCATTCCTATGTTCAAAGATATTTATATGAAGCATTGATGTCTCTATTAATTAATGAAGTCATTAATGTTCGTCTGTAATGTTCTAATTTAATTTCGATGGAAAGTGTTTGCTAAATTTCTCATTCGTCTTGAAAATTCAAAAAAATTCAATATTCAAGACAAATGTTTCCACTTAATATCGTCGAATAAGGGAAAATATTATTTTTTTATCATATTTGCGAAATTGTCCGTCAATTGCTGAATAAAAAAAGAATCAACATTGAGGGTTTATGGAACGACAGAAAATGTAATTGATATTTCTCTTTTATTATGATTCTACATTTTACAACTAAAATTAAGATTTTTTAAATTCAATGGATATCTTATTTGATATTATTATATTGTATATTTTATTATTTTCATTTAACTCTATCGAACAACACAATTCACAGGTTCCTGTTCAAATATTTTTCTGACCAACAAAATGTTATTAATTACTTTCCTCTTGGTTTCAATAGATTTTTTTTTCGGAAAATTTTGAAAATGATGAATGATTATCTCACTGAAAAGTAAAAGTGTAGCTATTGAGTAGCCAATTACGAGAATGGTAATGAGTTGGTGAACAAAAGAAGATGATGACTGTTGACTACCAGAGAATGGGTCATTGCAAATTTTCTTGTTCCCTGATGATTCTTTCTCGGTCATGAACCATTTTTGCAGCAAGCCTCCTTCAGCACACCTCGCAATAATTTTATTAATTTCTTTTTTGCCGGGTAATCCATGACGAAGAACGAAGGCTTCATCGAAGGTACGACGCGTTGGTTCAACAAATCTCAGTTGGCTCTGACCATTTTTTATCCGCTTCTTATAATACTCTGCTTCCGTTCTCGACGTAACGCAGCAAACATTGCGATGCAAAAGAGCCATTTCCGAACAGTGAAAAATATCCCCGAATGCCCTTGCCTTGTCTCGCAATCTCCGGCAAGCCGCATCCTCATCTTCGAATAGTTTCAGATCTGATGGATTTCGAAACATCGGGATTAAGCCTGATTGCTCGATTTGTTCCCAGGTGTCATATATAGTTTCGAACTGATCGTCGACGACAAGATCGGTTATCAGAGCGAAGATGTTGCTGGAGTTGATGAATCCAAGCATCACGACAAACCAGAACAAGAGCCTTTCCCGACCTTTCCAGGGTTGGTTCGGTATTCCGATTGACAGTATCAGTCGCAAAATGTTACTTAACTGCCAAATTTTATCATCGAACTTCAGAACGATCACTGCACACCAGATGATCATAATGATGGACGGCAGGAAACAAATCTCGAGGATCTTGTTACGTTTTTTTTTGTCATTGCCATGCATCTTTGGCATCAAAAGGCCAAATCGTTTTTTCAAGACAACCGGCGATCGCACGGATTCCTCAAGCACGGAGTTTCGGGTCAAATTTGTCATCATTGCATTCTTCAACAACGAGTTTTCTAAATAACGAACTGATAAATGCGCAGATATGTCTATTCCACGTGTTCTCGATCTTCTCACAAAACTGTCAAAGGCAGCAACGATATCTTGCTTCCAGAATCTGCTCAGATACAGTCTTGGGAGGATGTCAGGAGTGAAGTTGAGCTGTTTAGCCATTGTCTGCATCAGAACGATATTCGGCCCGGAGATCTTCTTTGCGTATTTGTTTTTACCCCAGGAGACGAAAGCAAATGGAGGACGATTGACAACAGCTACTCGCAGAGGATATCCGTGCATGTTCTTTGCAAAATTTGGGAAGAACTCCAGTCGCGATGAGAATTCTTGGTGGTAGGATTGATTGATGAAAGGATTGAACAGGTGGATGATCACTTGGTTCCAACTGTTGTCGTCACTTCCATCAACTTTCCTGATAATCTCTGCTGGCACTCCATCAAATCTTTTGATATCTGTTCCTTGCCGAAGTTCAACGATCATCACATTTGAGATTGACTCATTCCACGCGTGGAGCAGTAGATCTTCTATTTCTCCATTCAAATCTGATGATGTCCTCAAGATGATCAGAAGATAATTGAAAGAAAAGTCGACTAATTCATTGGCTGCATGCATCACTTGATGTATCTGCTCGCTGTCTCCGAAATATTCAGTGTAAAATATGAAGAGGAGAGAAGTGGATAGTTTTGATATGTCGCCGAGGTCCGGAACTTTCAACTCAATATTTTCATCTTCAATTTCAAATGTGACGCTCGGCACGGAACCCGTGATCTTTTCAAATAATTCGTCCTTCAGGGCGTCTGAGTGTCTTGTCTTATTGTTATGGATAATTAAAGCCGTGTTTATACGACGGGAATCGTGTAGATTCGCAGTCAAACTATCCAACCAGTGGACTTCTTCGTGACTTTTAACACTCTCCAACAGAATTCCGATGGAAATCACGAGAAAAATCTTCTCAATGATCATGACCAATTAATTTGGAGTGGAATTCTATTAAAACCGTTGCCAATTGCCGTCTAGGAAGGGCTAGGATGGCGAAGCGAATTTAAGCTAGAGAAAACAAACATGCAAATGTGAGAAAAAAATCAATAAAAAATAAAAGTGGATTCAATGGATTTTTTATTCTTGTTCGAATTTTTCTTTTGAATTTTTTTGCTGATCCGATTTGAAATCATATTCAATTGATCGGGAAATTCAAAGGTCGAATTGAAATTATTTTTTAATCACATTATGGACTTTCTAATAAATTACAAATAAATAAAATTAATAAAATAAATAAATAAATCAAAGATAAATTAGAAATTTCGTTTGATAAAAAAATTTTTACCGTTTGTCTTTTTCCTTGTGTCGTTGTAGCACGGCAAAACTTGCCATAATAGCCATCAGAATTTGAACTGTGAAATATTGTTGGCCCAGTCTCAAAGTCAAAACACGAATCAATCACGCAAATTTGAAAATTTGATGAACACGTTATAACGACTCATAATTATTATTTTTACTTAAAAAAACAAATGTCACCAGTACGAGCTGAATAAATCATAACGATTCCTCACTTCACACGCACCAGTTCTAACTCCCACATAATTAATTCATAACTCATCGTCCGGTTTTATATTCAAAGAATATATTTGAATATCTCAATTTATTCATGCAGTGATTAAAAATTAATACCACGCGAAATTCTCTGGCTCAAAATTTTCATTAACTATTCGCTATAATTTTTAATATTTTATATTTTAAATATTTTTGAGAAGGACCTATCAACGAAAAATTGAATATCAAAGCCGAAAAGGGTGCGCACGTGACTGATAAAATAGATATGAATATTTAGTATATCATGTTTTATGATTGATAATAGAAATTCGTAAAAAAGTACGCGTCATTGGTGTGAGGTGAATATATTATTTTCCCTGATGAAATTTCGGCACAAAATCCTCGCACCTAATATATATTTCAAGAGTTCAGTAATTCCTCATAATTACCCATCAACTCAGAGAGCTTTTAGTATTAAATCTTTTATTTTCCATTTAGTCTTTTCTATGTGCATTAAAAAATCCCCGGAAATGGAGGGAATCCCCCACTCATTCTGAATGAGTTACCCTTTGAGCAATATTTCTTCGCAGTTCCCTGTAATCATCAGCAGATGGCAATATTAGGTTATTAATACACAACATTTCGGAATTCCAGTGTTCACAGGGATATGAATGTACAACAATATATAACAATAATCATTCGGTCCATCCTAATATTTTTTTTAACCTATCGACGAAACAATGAACAGTTGAACGAACTCTAGTGACAACAATTGTAAAGTATCTCTAACCTCAATTACATTCCACCAGTTGAGGATACAGATGATCTGAGTTGAACGAGAATGTTAATATTTGTGGAAAAAGATTGTTGAAATATTAAAAATACTGCAGATATGGACGTCGTCCCAGGAACAGCATCTCTTCTTGATGAGTTGGACAGTACGTTTTATCCATTTTTTAATTAATAAATTGTTTAATTTATAATCTAAATTATTACAAGATAAATACAAAACATACAATTTCTGGGCAAAGGCTATTTTGTTTATTACAGCAATTTTTGCAACAACTTTTTTATCTCAACTCCTAAAAAGGTTACAACTAAAATTTCGCCATCCAAATAGTTTTTGTAATTAATATTTTTCATTTCAATTATATTCTCAATGAGTGGTGAAAATATGGAGATGAAAATTTAGCTGTAAAAATTGTTGAATGATATTTTTCTTCTCAGAAAAATTGATGGTTCTACTCAGAGATGGACGAACATTGATTGGATACTTGAGGAGTGTAGATCAATTTGCTAATCTCGTTTTACACAGAACAATCGAGAGAATTCACGTGGGAAAGGAGTATGGAGATATACCCAGGGGTGTTTTTATTGTCAGAGGAGAAAATGTCGTATTGCTAGGTGAAATCGTAAGTTTTTATCTATAAAATTCCCCTCTAAGTTTTTTATTTCCGTTCAAATTTCCTTTCTATCCACCAATAAACAATTAAAAAAAATTGTCCTTTGAAGTAAAATTTCTGGGAATATGAACGAGGTCTTTAGCGAATTTTAATCGCAATCTTTCCTGAAATGCAATTATAAAATAGGAATGAAGATGAGAGTTTTCATTGATGAATTAAAAATTTCAGGATAGGGATAGGGAAAAGGATCTTCCACTCTCAGAAGTGTCAGTAGACGATATCCTTGATGCTCAGAGGAGAGAGCAGGAATCAAAACAAGATCGAAATCGTCTGCAGAGTAAGGCCCTGAAGGAGAGAGGACTGTCCTACATCCCAGATCTTGGGCATGACGACATGTTCTGACCCACAGCTGTGATCACTGGAGCTCATTCATATGCCACTAATTTTCATAACGCAAAGTGATTCTGATATTTTTCAAAACAATTATACAGTAATAAACAAGAGTAAATAATTGATAATCGCATCCCATCATAATTTTCTCAATTATCGAAATCGAAATTACAGGAGAGAGTGAACAAAAAAATGGAAATGCAAGTGCTTATTTCAGCTGTTCAAAGCCGTCACTTACTCAGGCTACGCCATAAATTCGTCGACTGATTCAACGGAAATTTCAGTGAGTGTTTACGGATTGTGCGAATAAGAATTCAATATCAGTGTTTGCGAAATGAAAAATGCTGAAATAAACCGGATCGATCCATCCGGAAGCCAATCATGATAAGATACTGCAAATAAATCAATAAAAAATCCTAGAACTTCACGTTTTAATCTCCATTTTTAAGCATTCCTCAAAAGCCATCATTATCATGAAAATTATCCATTTTTTTCTCTTAGTGCACACATTTAAGTTAGACATCACAGGATAATCATCATCATCATCATCAATCAACATAGAAAAATATTTATTGTTAGAAAGTCATGATTATTCATAATAAATTGCTTCGGTTTCGATTAGACATTGAGGCTAACGTAAAAAAAAAATGGAAAACACGATAATAATCAGAACGACGTCTCCTGGAAGGTGTCCTTCAATTTCCCTGAATTCAGGGTAGATTCACTGAGTTGTTTCTGCATGGCAGATTGGTGTCTCTTGTCATCCCTCTGGATGCTCGCCCTGACCGACCTCTTGGAATCATTACGCTGTAAACTTGTCCCACGTTTTCTCGCTGCTGTTCTGTTTTCCTCCTCGAATTTATCACCTGAATTATTCGCACTATTTCCACTGCTCGAGGCTATCCCAGAGGTGTCAGATCCTGGATTATTTCCATCGAGGCAGCGAAGTAAACTGTCAGACAGGCCTTCTTCATCCAGAATATTCACATCAGATGCTGACTGCTCGAAATCTCCAGTACGAGACGAGAAGCTCAGATCCACGGGACTTGCAGTCAAAACACTCCTGGACAGCAGATATTCTCGGAATGTACTAGTGATGGACATTGTGCTCTTCTGATTGATCTGATCATCATCGATTGATGCCACTAGCTTTCGTCCACGATATGGGGGACGCTGGTAGTTCTCTTTGTTGTCATTGTGATAGATCTCCAGGTGGGAATCTGTCCGCGATGTGCCCTCCGAGCTCGATACGTAGCTGTGATCATCAATATCGATGTCCATGATTTGGAGATTTTGGGAGGCTTCACCGTCCAGTGCTGCCAGATTGCACAGATTTGAGCCTGAGATCATCATCACGGGTTTCCTGGATCGCGGAGTCATCATTGTCTCCTGCAGAATCATTTAAGAATGTTTGAAATCAAATTATCATCGATTTTTCGATGGAATTGCGAACTCTTGAGGACACGTGTCAAATCATACAAGGAGCTTTATTAATTGAAGAGGACGAGACAATTCTAAATATCAATCGTGAAGGACATGAGGATCAATAGTCATAAACGGTGAACATAAACATTGGAAGATGCAGTAATTATTGTTAACAATGTAATACGAACGACCATTATTTCAACAATATGACACAAAATTTATAATAAATTGTATTGCAATTGAAATCATGCATACCTGCATAGCCCTTGGCATTTTGGTGGTGCTTTGAGTGATAGGACTCATGCTCTTATCATTTTTCTTAATGGGGGTGACCACACATCCCTCACCATTCGTCAAATTGCGTCTGAGAACATCAGCAGGTGTTGAAGTATGAGCTGATAATCCATTCCAAAATTTATACTTAACAACAGGTGACGGATGCTTAGATCCTTGACCCTTTCCCCCCGACGGCGTCTTAACTTCTGATTTTTTCGGAGTGAAAACCAACTCGATTTTGGGTCTCTGTAGTGTCGAGACGGATGAATTACCAGCTGATTGTCGAGTTTTATCGTCGAAATGGTGGGAGTGTATGTCGCAGGGCTCAGAATTGTATCGACGCACCTGTCGGTCCTCAGCAATTATTTGAGTGTCTGAATGCCCCACTGCTCTCCCATTTTCGCTGATAGTCATCAGGCTTTTTGATGCTTTGATGGGAGTCTCTACCCTCTCGTTCGATCCCTTGTCACTCTCAATATCAGGAGCTTCTCGTATATTCACAAAATTCTTCCACGTCATCTTCAAGGCTTTGATACTGCTCTTAGGTGTATGCAGACTGCCTGTGCTACTGCTCATGTGTTTTGAGTGCATCAGGTTATCAGTCTCGATAGTGAAACTGTCGGAGCTCAGCTCATCGTCTGATTTGCTGAATAATGTCTTCGAGGGCAATCCCAACTCTTTGTGAGTCTACACGGACATGCGAGATCAATTGATTAGTCACGTTCCCGTGCAAATTGGTTTAGTTATTATTGGTGAGGATCGATACATGTAAGCGGTTATTTCCGAGGACAATCTAATGCATGTGATAGCATATTCTATTTTATTTTTACTAATATCGAATTTTCACGTGATTTTCTACATTAGTCTGTATTCTTCAATGAAATAATTAATACTGTTTTGTTTAAAAATTTTTTAAATCAATTAAATCGTTAATTTTTTCTTGATTTGAAAGAAAAGTGAATGATTTGCATCGATTTCACAATTCTTTAATCTATACTTCACGTTTTGAAATTTAGTTAAATCAGCAACACACGAATTCGCCGAACCCAACAATACATTAGATTTCTCTTTCGTTACGATTTTCTGCAGATGTACTTTCGATTGTTAGACGTTTCAGCAAGAAATAGGCAATTGAAAAGCAGCAGTACAGCGAGCCAAAACTGAAAATAATTATAATTATACTTACAGAGGCCACAATATTCTCTTCACTACTCGATTTGTTCATGGTGCACCCAATATTTATATCGATTAACTTCTTGTTCCCAAGTAATTTTTTCTGGAATATGTGTTTTTTTATGGAGTCTCCTAAGCTCTTCGTTCGCACTTGCTTCACGTGCCTTGGAGTTCCCTGACCATTTTCCTTATTGAACTGCTTCACCAGGCGTCGCTTTTTCGCAGACTCTGGCATTGCCTGGATGTGGGCGTAGAGTTGGGCAAGTGCTGCTTGTGTATCTTCTGTTGAATTGGCTTTGGCTGTCAACTTGTGATCTACAAAGCTGAAGACTGTGTGAGCTGTGCCAGTTGCGTCTGAGATGGACTCATTCAGCTGAAATAAAATAAAAACAAAAACTCTTTACTGTTGATGTCTCTCTTTAGATTCAGGAAAACTCACATCATTTTTGTTTGGACTCAACAATTTTCTCTCCTGGTCCACCCAATAAGCCCTGATATCAGTGGCCAATTTCGTTGGAATTTCAAACAACTCGTTCCCCTTACGAATCATAAATGCCACCAATCCTGATAAATTCTGGGAATTAACGTGCAGTGCTTCTGGGGACAATTTTCTTGGACACATAAGGTGGGGTGTGAAGAGTGTAGCCAATGTATCACAATTCATTTTGTTGCTGCTCTCAAAACTTGCTGTTTTATGAAGAAGTGTCAGCAGGTGTTTCAAGAGAATTCGATTAGGTGGGGGAAGAAGTAGCAAGAGTAATTGCAGAGATACGAGAAGTCGTGACTCATTGGAGCTTGAATCTGTACTGCATAATTCGGCAATTTGACAGTGCGCAGGATAATGGAGCTCTGTTAGCAGAGGCTCTGGCAGTTCGGCCAAAAAATTTTTCAGCACTGAGGCACAATCGTGAACACTGTAGGGCCCATCCTCTAAGTCTATTGGGTGCCCCTGGTACAGAGCCATTTTGAGGTCCTGCTGGCGAGTCAGTTTTCCTGTTCTTCGGAAAATTCCCTCTTGGGCGATACCTAAATAAATTATTTTATTGTAACATTATTGAAAAAACAACTTTCTCTACAAAATTTAAATGATAATCACGTGAGATAGAGTGAATGCTATTAAATATTAAATGCCAAGTCTATTCGGTTGAGTTACAAAATTGAAATTGTGGGAATAATGTGTTAACAATTTTATGGGATAATGGAGAGAAATACTAGAAATTTCATCATGGGTCAACACTTGGATGACCAATGGTAATTCGCGGGAATGAAATTCAATGATTTATTCAATTTATGGTGCATTGTATTCCTTACATTGTTCTTTAGACAGATATTCCATGAGCTGTTTAACTTGATTTATGCCCTCGTTGGTGAGAGCAGTACTTTCACCCTTCTGCTGTAAATTCATCAATGATTTTGGCTTTTTGGAGAAACTTAGAAGTCCCCATTTTTTATCCTTCGTTTTTTCTGTTATTGGATCATTGCTTTATGAAAAAAAAACAATATTAAATCACTCCCACTCATCAAAAAATAAGCGTGGGATAATGAATTGAAATTATCGAAGAAATAAGTACTTCATCTCTTAGTTCAATCAATTATTAATAAAAATAATCGGTGGAGTGGTTTCCACAACACAATTTGATATCCAAATAGAGAAATGCAAATTAATCGCCGTTCGATTGAATTTATTTGTTTATGATTTGTCGAGTTTTTCTTGTTCAAAACACTGATATTTTTCTATTTTTAATTGGATATTCTGAACGGAAGTCATTCGTGTTCTTGGCGTGAACCGCTGAATTTCGAAAAGTTTTTTGATAATTAAAAATATAATTGAAACAGCTAGACCTTCTCCATTTTGATCTGTTCTTCAGGGCAGTATTTTGGAGCGCGACTAATTTGCATTTACAAAGCTAGGCTGCCTGCACTAATATATTTTATTTCCCACTGCCATTACGATTTTATAAGCGCCTCTCATCTTATAGCCTTTAGGTCTCTTCTACGATCTTCTCCGTCCACGGACAGTATTTTTATTTTATCGAAAATCTATGAATCTCTAAGTACAAATAATAACAATTGTACAGACTTACTCCTCAGTTGTAATGTCCAATTCAAAGGACAGGTGCATTTTAACGAGCGTTAAAAATTGCTCAGGATTGACTTTACGCATTCTGGAGGCCAATTTACCGTCCACTCCATCATTAAAGTCCTCCATAACGGCAGAAGAATATCACTGATTAATTAAAAATGCAAAACCTCATTTCAAATATCACGTCCACATGTGTGTGTAACCAAGCTCTGCATGACGGTTATGTTCCCATTGAAAAGAAACATGTGAAGTACTTCAAATCACAGCTGATTCATGACTACGCGAGGTCTTCAATGCGAGGTCTCGATTAATATCGATATTTTGGTCATGATTTGTGTCAAAAAAATTAATTTTTTCAGATCTAAATTCAATTATTTATGTATTGGCTTCGCTGCTTGGCGCAGCTGACATTCAGAATCACTGGAACAACTGTTTATCACGTGATCGAGTATCTGTCACATGATTGGTCGATACCAGCGCCATCTTGATGCACTTGGGCAAAGTTTTGAACAGACGATTTACCGGTTTTTCTCGCCTGATTTTATTATTCCCTTGAGACGTACGGGTGGGTCCAGGTTGTCCAGGTTTTCCGAAAATTTCGTGATGGTTTTTCAATTTTTATCGAAGCTTTTGACGTTTTAGTTTCATTTTAAATTCTTGTAATTTGTTATCGTCAGTTTTTACTTCTAATTTCAATTTACGTTGGTTCTGTCAACTTTTCAGATGGCAATAGGGCGTGATTGATGAAAGATTACGAGAGAAAATTTATTAATTGATTGAAAATTTAATTCTGACGTTAAATGACTCATTTTTTAATAATTGGTTGCGGACGAAAGATATCACCTCTAGTCTGCAACCAATAATTTAAAAAAATCATTCAATTAATAGTATTGATTATTTATTGAACCGTGAAGGATTATTAAACAATGAAAAAAATCATTTGTTTCTTAACTGACAATTTTCTACTGAATCTGATAATAATTACATAATTTTCAATTTTAACAAAAATTTTAGACTTTATTTGTTGTACATTTTTTTATTTCATCTCTTTATCCAATATAAAATTGGATATTATAGCTTTGTTCATTATTATTAGTTTATTCAGAAAACAGTGATACGAAAGTTTTCCCGAAGAAAACAAAAATTCGCCGAAAAAATTTCCTACTTGAACGGTACATATTCTTGGGTAACTATTAAACTTGGTACATCATCGAAAATACAAGCCTAATCGAAATATCCATCGGTTAACTTTTGAAGCTGATGTGCATGATTGATTGAATCTCAATGAATTTTGACGATAATTTACTGCAATTCATTTGGTCCATTACTGTCTGGTCAAGTTGTACTCAATTACCAAATGATGAATGATTCAATATTCGAATTTGAACGCCTTCCATTTGCGGTTGTCACAAACTTCAGTGAATGAATCACTGACATTACAGCAATGAGACTATACAATTCTCTTCATTAAATGTCATTAAAAAATCACTTAAATATCAATCGATGCAAATGAATGATGAATATCAATGATGAAAATTAACTGAAAATATCTCCTAGTTTTTTCCACTATATTTCAAAAATTGAAAATATAAAATCGTCTCATCCACATTTCTCTGGCGGATCCTCAAGATAAAAATCCATAATCGCGCAATAATCGAGTATTGAACGAGAATTGATAAATTCAAGTCGAAACCAACTAGAAAAATCCCCAGCTCTCTGATGAGTCCATAAAACTGGAAACCAAGTTTTCACGAATTCAAATTCTGAAAAAAAAAAAGTTATTCCCACGATTTCCCGACGTGGAATAGACCCCAATCCCATTTAAATTTCCATCAAAACTTCGACTTTCCAGATTGATCGATATAAAAAATTCCTCTAATTCCTTTCCCCCAGAGTGGAAAAAATATCCAAGAGCAAAAACCCCAGCGACTTCTCAAAACTAATCAAACCCCTAATCACCCAAAATGATTGAATGAAAAACCGGCAGTAATCACGATAATCAATCGTCAATAATCCATTGAATTCATCTACCGTCAATCATACGTCGATTCAGCATTAACTGCTCCAATTTTACCCCAGTGTACGTTTACCCGAACGATCAATATGTAGGTCGAGGTGGACGTAGACACAGTAAAACGTATGCCAGCAAAAAGTACAAGTGCAAAAAGAAAGAAAAAAATTGAGGAAAAAAAAACGAATAAAAGAGACATAGGTGGACACCGAATACATTAGTGGCACGGTACCGATGACCCTGTCTCTCACATCCCACCCCCTCTCCCCATATTTCCTCAGAACGCAGATACATATATGTATGTTAATCCAACACTGACTTGAGCAGCGGTTCGTATTGTCGACGGTTTTATATAGGCGCGTGTGCTCGTCAGCCTTCGGGCTCTTATCATGACGATTACGCAACGGTTTAGTGCGACCAAGTCGTGTCTCGCGTACGTAAGTCTCTCGTAGTCGATCCGTAGTTAGAGACCGGGAAGAAAACCCAATTATTCATCGTGAAATCGGTAAAAGGAGTAACGAGAAAAAAAATAAATAAAATCGTCAAAAGCGATCATTCATCGATCAGTCATCGGCGAGTCAGAAGTTCTAGCCAAAAATTTGCACTGCAACCGCGAAAAAGCGCGCGAGCGCGTAAAAAAGATAAGGAAAAAAAAAAAAAAAACGTTTGCCAAATAATTTCTTCAGCGAATTAGAGGAAAACGCGTGGGTTTGTCGGTGGATGGCGCAAGTTGAGTTGTATACCCCGGGGTTGTTGAAGAGCTTTGGGGCGCGTGCGTGGTGCAAGTGGATGAGAACTGTGGGGTTCCACCAACGGCGACGGCGCACCAATTTCTAGACGGAGTAACCAACGGTACAGACCAAGAAATCCATCAGAACCGGGGGGTTAACGTTAACAGCAGGGAACGACGGAGGATAAGTTGTGCGCACCGGTCTACGTGGAGACACACACAGGCCGGTACGGGCCAGCGCATCAAAAGTGTTCAAAATTATTTTCAAAAATTCACCACCAAAAATCCAAAAAGTACCACGCGTTGACCCCGTCGTTTTATTATTTTCCCCAATACATGTTGAAATAACGGATAAAATTCACCAGCTATCCGTGGTGTACTGCGTCGCTCCAGTTATTTTATTTTTCCTTTTTTTTTTATTTCAACAATTCCATCGTACCGTCGATTGCGGGAACCACTGACACCCAGCTCGGGCTTTTTTTTTATTGTTGATAAAAAAAAGAAAAAAGGGGAAAACCGGTGGGTGTTTTTACCAAGAGGAAATAAAACTGACTGCACACTGTGGGGAGGGGCCTATCGCATTGCGATACGTGGATTTTCAAGGCACGAGGAGATGATTTACTCTGGGCCTTTGAGTTGTTGAGAATAAGGGTGAAAATTGGTGGTAACAAGGAGTTGGTGTCGCGATTCAGGCAGACGGAAGTGATTGGTGGTATTACGTATTCACCGGTGGCATTGCAATTCGTAATATCATTGATTTGTGAATTATATAAATGTGCAACGTGTAGGCACGCTGTTTATGAAAATAATACCGACAAATCGATGATAAATGATGGACCTGGTGGTTGATTCGTGGCTTTTTTATCAGCGTTAACACAACGCGTGTGTGTGCAACGAGTGCAACGTTTTTGACGCGAGTGACGTAGGATAAATAGAGGATATTGTGTACTGGTGGTGTGTCGTTGGAATACTCTTCCGTGTTTTAAGCGATTGATTGTACCGTTTGGGTCAGTCGGTTGATTGGGTGTATCATTGATTGGGGGATGGGGGGGGTTTAATTGGTGTTTGATATTTAGTTTTCATAGGGTGTTCAATTCTTTGAAAAATGTCAGTGAGTATTTTGTCCAGAGTGCATCACACTTGGTGCAATATTTGTCAAGTGAGATATCATTAGTTATCAAATGTTTTTTCTACGAGTTGACAAAGTCTGTGAGCTACAGACAACTGGAATAAACACGTAAAAGAGTCGAGGGTAGTGCAGAAAGACGGAGTTGTCTTCCGTGTTTTCGTGTCTTGATGAACGTGACGATCGATAGGGCGCTCGCGTGCTCTGGTTGTGGACATTGACGACGTTTTCTAAGGTCGACGTTGAAGTATCGTGCATTCACTTGTTTATCACCCCTGGATGACAAATAAATGATCGAGGTATAAGTCCACTGAGAGATATCCGGTGATAGGTGATTTGTAAGCTCCTGGTGATCTGAATTGTCTGGGGCTTGTTATATGGGTGACTTTGTTGGTGGCAGTTTATTTTCGACAAGCAGATTGACAACGTGCGCGTCATCAGTCTCAAGCACATCACTGCTGAATAGTCAGATAGCAGCGATGCAGGACGATTTGTTGATTGAGAAGCAGAGCACAGCTAAACCAGCGCCACTGTCACCAGGTGGCCTGGATTCAGTTGTGACGTCTGGTCAGGACAAGCCGAAGGACACTGAGTCAGAGAGTATTGCAATAGCCAGATCAACGCCGTCATCGATGGACAAGGATATGACGACGTGTGGTACAACATCGAGTCTTCAGGGCTTCACGGATCCTGTGCGTGTGCCATCGCTTTGGGCAGCTGTACCAGAGGACAGTGGACTACATGCATTACCTGTTAATGGCTCAATAGCCACGTTTCAGAATTTTCCAGCTGGTGGTCCAGCTGGACTGTTCGCTGGCTCTGGTGCAAGACGTGCTATAACAGCTAGTCACAATTTTCAACACGGTGGTAATACCGCAGGTGTTCGGCATGGGCTTCAGGTTGGACAGCAAAATGTGTCGCAGCAGTCGCAGGGACCGAATCAGCAGACACAACAGCAACCAACTAATCATCCCGGTGTTTATCTTCAGGGTAAGGGTTATGCAACATGGTCTGGTGGTCCACAGGCACCTCAGCAATGGGGCAGTGCACCTCAGGCTGCTGCAAGCCCTGCTTTATCACCCTGGAGCCGGGGGAGATCGGTACCAAATCTACCGCCACTCCATTCATCGCTTCATGCTGCTGCTGCAGTCGCTGCTGCTGCTGGATTACAAGGAAGAAAACCAAGTCCAACATTTCCTGGTCATCCCGGACCCAATCAGCCACATCCTTCTAACATCAGTCCCATCAAGTTTCGTCGCAGCACTTCTTATCCGGGCAAGGGGAATCTCTATCCACCGCAGCCTACACCAACTTTTGAAGTAACAGCAGCTGAGGAACGAGATTTGCTGCAGCTGTCACCGTATCAGCAGGTAAGCTATTGATATCATAATGTCATTTACGTAATTACTGAGTCATGGACAAACAACGCTTGTTTGGTCAAGAGCCTAGTCTAAATGGAATGGCTTGAGCAAAATTTTTATTCTCCATCCCAGGCATTCTCAGCATGCATGAGGATGAGCTCGGTACTTATGCAACGTATTTCCACAGCGTTGATTTAATTTTAGAAATGAAGCTTCGTATTTACCATTTGACACATCCGTCGTTTTGGTGTCATTGCACCAGTAAGTAACGGAAAAAGAAGTCCAATGAAAATTGTGAAGGAAGTGGATTAATTCCTAGGATTAAGCTGTGACTTCGAAGTAGTTCATACCTAGTCAGATGTTGGGACGAAATTGTAGAAAGATGAGGGAGAGGAGCATTGAAAGTTCTTCGGTACAGCGTCTTCCGTCTTCGGATTCTGACCCAATTCCCTTATCTATACCGCCTTCTATCCTTCTCTGTTGGACCGCACTGTATTATAATCTTCAGATGTCGATGTGTGTGTGTCTAGTAGAAGTTTAAGCTCAGCTATTTTGGCCGGGATACGAAAATAGGCCTTGCATACCAACCGAACGAAATGGCAAGAGTGTATTGCCGTTGCGATGATCTTTATACCCATTGGACTTTTTATTTTTCTGTCTGTCCTTCGGTGATTTACTCTTTTTTCTTTAATTATCCTGCACGAGTATTTATCGATCCAATCTTGGAAACCCTTCGCCAATGCATTACGGCAGAAGAAACATGAAAAAGAGGGTGAGGGCTCTGTTCGTTTTATCAATATCGCTGAACAATTAGACCAGCGCACATGCATAAACGCAGTTCTTATCGGAGACCCGCACTCCTCCCTTTGATTAACCTTGTGCACACTTACCCTCCGGCAATCTAAGGGTCTCTGTGTAATTAAGTGAAGTCTTTCTCTTCTATCTCATGTTTTTGTCCGGTGGAAATCGTCAAATAAGGGTAACGGAGATTTTGTAATTAATCGAGTTCCATTTTTGGATTTCCCGGATTATCTTATCTAGCAATTGTATGCAATTGTATGCAATTATATGCAATTATATCAAGTCCATGAACAATTTGAGATTTTGAAAATTTTAGGGGTAGAATCAGAATTTCGGGGAAATTCAGATAAAAAATAAGGAGTACTGTGAAAAAATTCCACGACAGTTTATTATAATTTTCCTCAACCGTTCGCGAGGTGGAAGAGATAATTTTTTATTGAATATTTATCTCGGTGCTGTTTATAGTACAACAATGGCGAATGGTTGCGTTCACCCAGCGAGTGAAGAACTCCGACGAACAATAATTTTGATTTCTGGTGCCGGTTACCGGTGAAAATTCATTAAATCTCGGCAGTAAAAATAAAAATTGTGGAAAAAAAAAATGTGGTATCGATCCTTGAGACTCGTCCAAGAATAGCCTAGAACGAAAATAGGCCGAGACCGCAGTGTTCTGGTGCATTCTGCAGTGCGGCTCAGCATGAGCATCCCTTTGTAAACATCCATTGTCCATCTCAATTTTATTGTGAAGGTTAACAACGAGAGCAACAAAAATAAGGGTAATGAGAGAAATGGAGGAGTAAAACGGGTTGTCCCTGGGGTAATCGGTCTGGGAGTTATGTCGTTGTGTATAAGTGGAGGTTGCGTGACACGTTGACGATACGAGGGTCGAAAAAGATTCAGATGATCCCCCAGAATTCGAGTGAAATATATATTCGGTTAATGTTACGAGTCTTTCTTCCTTTTTGGGGTCATTGCACCCAATTAAATCGTCGATTTTAATTAAATACACGCTGAAGAATAGAAATGTAAATTACGGGTCAAAAAGTATTTTATGACTGAAGCGTAAACTATCAAGGGTTATTCATTATGATTTTTGATAATTAATTGATGAATTTGTGATAATTGATGTCTTATATTTTCCATTAGGATGGACGAAACCTACTGCGCACTCCGTGCGTCGAATTTGAATTTGGCGGTTCGAGTTGACCAATGAGGAATGAGTCCTACGCGTTTCGAGATATTTCGACTCGGGCGAACTTCATTTTTGTGTTTCTACTTTCAGAATAAGGGAAATTTTTTAAGTCAGAAAAATTAACTTTTTGATGCTAATGTTTCCAATGAAGTAGCTTTCCACGACTTTTGAGGTTAGTTTCCTCTAAACAGATTACGGCAGGTTTTCAGATAAGTTAACCACGATTAGCAGCCATATTTCAGTGCGGGTTAAATGTTCCCATTGGCTGCAATTCAGGGTGAGTTTTCCCATGAATTACTCGTGGCTAACGCGTGGTTAGAGTTAAAGTTATGGTCCCTGATTGGCTCGTCGCAGTGGGAGGTTTAACTCAACTTTAACCATGCGGTTAACTTACCGAAAAACTGTTCTTAATCCGAAGTTAACTTCAACTTAACCGAGTGTTAGCCATGATTAAACTAACCAGAAAATCGGCCCTCCCACTCCCACCACTAATTCCCCAAAATCTAACCTAAAAAGTCATTAAAGGTAATTTCATCCCACGTTCCGACGTCAGTAATTTTACCATCTGATTCTCAAAAGATAACGTTATCAGTGCAGATGAGTTTCTCAAAAATAAATTAAAAAAAAAAATTTAATAGAATTTTTTTAAAAATAAAAATATTTAAAAAATAGAAATTTTTTTTTAATAAAAGTATTTAAAAAATAGAAAAAATAGAGAAAAAAAAATAAATAAATCAAATAAATCAAATATCTGTAAAACTTTGAGGCGTTGTTAGACCGAAAATTACGGAATGGCATCTGGGACTTCAACGAAGCCGATCTTCGTCGGGAAATTCAGGCGAGAAAAGTTGGAGAATAAAATAATAAAATTTTATATGCTGTGCAGGGGAAAGTTTTCCTCGCGTGCATAATATCGTCGCGAGTTTTACTCGGCGTCGGGACGCGTCTGCGTCCCTTGATCCATTTTGGGAGCGGTTGCCATGAGGATATTTTATTCCCTGATTGGCACGCAGTCGGAAAAAAATATATTTCATTCAAAAATTGATACCTTCTCTGAAGAATATGAAAATGATAATATATTTTTGCCGCGGAAACATGACCGTAGGCAATTATGCAAATATTTGAACTTCCGAATTTATTACCCGAAATACTAAATCATAAAAACAATGTTGACTAAATTATGAATAATATGGACTGCCCTTAAAAATAACCGCATTCTTAATTTTCAATATTTTTCCCCATTTAAATAATGATAAACACATAAATTAAATATTTAACAATTACTCGATTGATAGACTGTCAATGGATTTTCCAAAAATATAATAAACATTCGACAATCTCAATTGTTAATGCACCAATTGAAATAAAAACACGTTTACATGACCCCACAATTAATTAATTAATTAGTCGATGGATTGGATAAGATCTCCGTAAATTTAATTTTACAGGGAATATAAGAAATATATTATTTATATTTTTTTGTGAGTGTGAAGAAAATTGGTTGAACGTTGAAAACCCATGGGCGATTTTTATGGCGTAACTAGGGCTCAAAATTCGTTCACTTTTGTCGTTTATGGAGGAAAAAAATCGTAAAGTTTTATGTGTCGCACACCTTTTATAGCGTCACGACCTCTAGTTCGTGTCGGGAAAATGTCGCCCTCGATGCATAGCGAATATCCTCCATATTGAGTTCAATTAATCGAGAGACAATACCTCTTTTTAATGCAGCTTGTAAATAAATTTCGTCATTTTATACCGCATTTCATTACACCGATAATTGATTGATTACTTGATGGGGTTTTCCGAGCTCTCACTTTCGCTCCAAACCAATCCTTCATAAAAAATAAGAAATTCAATAAATAATTTCACAAAACAAATTATGGTTATGAATTTCGAAAGTTAATACTCAACATTCGCTTACAGAAGAAATTTAATATTATTTTTCAATTGCTTTAGTTGTTTTTATTTTTTCCTTTCGATTTTACTGATTTCAATAATTAATAAAATTGCTTCAATAAATATTAATTGTGAAATTTTAAAATCCAATAATTACTATAAATTTTGAAATCGAACGCAAGTCGACGGAAAAACCCAACGGAAAAGTTCGCGGGAAATTCTAATGTTTCCTGAAATTTCCGTAAAATTCCGGACATTTTTTCATCAACTGGGAATGTTTCAACAATTTTTGTACATTCATTAAAAAATACCAGCTTATTCTGGAAAAAAATGGCGGCTCATTCACAGGCACAATTATTCGCACTTGAATTCCTCCAATGGTTTCAGTTCCAACTAACGAATTTTCACGTACATTCTTACCTCTCGCACCGGCGTCACATAATTATTTCTCGTCTCATTGTTACCATTGGAGCAATATAACACTGGGCTCTCACACAAGAACATTTTCCACATTTCCGGAGGCAGTTCACAACATCACATCCACTTTTATATTCCTCCCTTACGCCCAGCGCATTTTTACCGTACATTCGCTGCAGCGTCTCAAGAGTTTCCTTCGGCATTTATTTTTTTTTTTTCTGTTTTATTTCGTACTCCTGTGTAATTCTGATGTCTCCCATTCTTCAGTGCATACTGCAAGTCACTGGGCAAGACAACTCCAATTCTCGACTTCATCTATTATTTTTAGAAATCAATTTTTATTTGAATGAACAGAAAAATATGAGAAATTATTAATATTACGTAATAATTCTTGTAGTTAATGAAAATTTAGTGAATGTTTGAGATTTTTCTCTTCTATTTTCATAGAAATTCACGTTAAATCATTTTCGTTTAAGGATTTCTCTCCGTGAAAAATTGAATCGAATTGTGAATTTTAGAAGGAATTCTTGGATTTAGGAGATAATTCCGTAGTTTTTGGTCCCAGTTTTCCAATATTTTATCTCTGTTAATCTTTCGGAATGTGTTATTGAACCTGTGATAAATTTAACCAGATTGCCAGATTATCAGGCACGCCCTAGGTATGTGTTTTGTCGTTTCTCTCAACTAGAATCTCAATACGCAC